GAAACACAGTAAGAGAGAACAATGGACCCTGTGATTAATTAGTAATACTGCGCTGGGCTTTGTGCAGTTACAGGCTGATAAAACCAGTACATCAGACGGGCTCACAAAATACTTCCTGATTTCTGAAGCTGAAGAAAATCACTGGGTTTAAGATCACATCCGAGATCTTGCTTTTATTATTCAAAGGAGCATTACTATTCAGCAGGTTATATATGATGTGACTACTCTGGTATTTTTTTCTTTTCACTCTATTTACTATTCTCAGATAAAAATTTAAAAATTAATAAACTTTAAATAATACATGGATATATGTGTCTATTATTCATTTATCAAGTAAAACTTATTGAGGACAGCCGAAACCAGTTTGGCTCAGTGGATAGAGCGTCGGCCTGCGGACTGAAAGGTCCCAGGTTTGATTCCGGTCAAGAGCATGTACCTTAGTTGCAGGCACATCCCTAGTAGGGAGTGTGCAAGAGGCAGCTGATCGATGTTTCTTTCTCATCGATGTTTCTATCTCTCTATCCTTCTCTCATCCTCTCTGTAAAAAACAACAACAACAACAACAACAACAAAACAAAACAAAAAACAAAGACAACTTTATTGAGGACTGAGAGCAAAGATACAAGGACGGTTGATATGAGCCCTTGTGGTCATGTTGCCTACAATATGACCAAGGAAAGTAAATCAAAGTTAGGTGTCCAAATGGAAGCAAGGTAGACCAGACTGGGCAGTCACTCACACCCTTCTTGGCTCATTTTTCCTCATGGCCCTGAGTCACCATGTAAAATCCCCCAGGAGGTCAACACATGGAAAAACAAGCAGCTTCCTTACTACATACCAGTGATCATGTAGGAGGTGGAGGCGGAGAAGAACCAGGTTTCAGGTCCAAGTGTTTCAGCAGGAATCCTGAGGAGGAGCAGACAGCAAGGATAGGCCCAGGAATGATGGCATCCGAAGAGGTACAAGCAGTGAAAAATCTCAACAAGGAAAATGAAGGAGGGACTGGCCCTGATGCAGAATGAGGAGGAACCCCGCCATTTGGAGTTGTTTGGTTTTGTTTGTGAAGCCCAGTAGCCTGGAGGGATGTCTGGCTGGGGTGGGTTAGGTGATTTGTACCTAATTTTCCATGAGCCCTAACTATCAAGCGTGTGGATCACAATGAAGTGGGAGATAGTGTAGAAAGAATGGAAATCAGAAGAAAGACTAGGGAGCACCAAATGAGGCACGATATGTACTTCCAAACTCCTGAACCTGATAATCATTATGACTTTTACCTTATACTTTGAATCTTAAGGCTTTCCCTGAGGTTCACAATGTGGCCTCAGTCAAGAAACAGACTGACAAATCTAGGAGTGGAGGGAGGGTATTGGAAGAGATAAAACAAAGAACTTACATACTTATATGGATAGCCCATGGATGCAGACAATAGTGTGGTGAAGGCCTAGAGGCATAGGGGTTGGGCCAAGGGGCCAAGGGAAAGGGGTGGAATGGGTAACATATATTATACTGTCAACAACAAAAAATATATATACATATGTTTTACAAATAATAAAATAATAACATAATATGCAAAAATAATAATAAAATAACATGGCCTCTGCTTTAAAACTTAGGGGTGTGTGTGTGTGTGTGTGTGTGTGTGTGTGTGTGTGTGTTTAATATATTTTACTGATTTTTTCAGAGAGGAAGGAAGAGGGATAGAGAGTTAGAAACATTGATGAGACAGAAACATCCATCAGATACCTCCTGCACACCCTCTATCGGGGATGTGCCCACAACCAAGGTACATGCTCCTGACTAGAATCAAACACAGGATCCTTCAGTCCACAGGCCAATGCTCTATCCACTGAGCCAAACCAGTCAGGGCTGATATACTTTTCTGTAAATCTTTTGGTGTTTCCTCTTACCAGTTTCTAACTGAATATAGTATGGTCTAAGAGTAAAACTCTGTGTCCAGCAGGGCAATTTCACCCAGTTTTTGGAGAGGGAAATGTTCTTTTCAGTGTGTGAAATTAATAAAGCAGTTTAAAAATAAAATTAAAAATGAAGACAAGGAATATGATGCAAGTGAAGTATTCAAGAGGAAGTCACTTGGGGGGGGGGGGGTCAGAGAGACCCAGCCTGAACTGAGTCTTGAAGATGTTGCCAAGAGATGGACAAGGGGAAAAGAGAGAGGGAAAACTAAAGGAACACAGAGGTGTGAATGTGCACGACAAGGAATTCGGATTGCCAGGGTATGTGTCCCTAGGAAAACTGGCTGGAGGCTAATCTGGAGAAGGACACAGGGACCAATTCAGGTTTGAAACTTAGATTCTATCCTGAGGCACCATGAATCCACTTAAGGATTTTTAGCAGACATAGTGCAATATGATTTGCTTAAAGAGAAAATCTGAGGAGGTGAGGAGGATGGATTGGCAGGAACACAGAGAGAGGAAAGGTGGAGGGTCTTATATAAAGAGATGTCTAAGGGCAGGGTGAACAGTGCCAGTCACTAGCAAGATGATAGGGGAGAGAAAGATGGATGAATCTAGGATAACAGACATATAGGCAGAAGAGCAACTATGAGTTCTGTTTGGGACATACTGGGTTCAAATAGGACATTTAGTAGATTACATATAAGGGTCTGAACTCAGGTAGATGTGTAAAAGAGGTTATGGTTTGGAGCAAAGAAAATATTCAAAATATTACCAACTGGTATGGACAGTTGGGCATAGACACTGACTAATCAGAACAGGTGCCTGGTGGAGCAGAAAGGATCCCAGCAATAAACAACTAGCTTGGTCACACGTGCACACACCAAATGAACACCACCTTGGTACTGACAATCATCAGAGTGGAGGAGAGCCCTTAGAGAAATGAGAAGGGAAAGAGGCCAGACCAAACACCAACAATGGGGAGTGGTGTGGAGGAAAGGAACCTGGAGAAGGAACTGTCAGAGGTCATGGAACACTGGACCATAAAGTTTCCACTGGGAGGAGTGGTGGAAGGACTACTGAAGAGATGTCAACCTTCCCCAGGCTACACTATTTGTGATGTAGATGTCATGGGGACCTGGGCAAATTCAAGAGCAGTGCTCAAAGGTACCAGCCACAATGAAGTCTGAGAGCTCAGGGATGAGGATGGCCTAGGCCGGGGAAGTACTTAAAGATGGTGTCTCCAGCCATGCTTAAGCTAAGGCTGCACAAAGGGAAGACACTGACATGGAGTCAACCCACTGAGGGTATTTTCCACTGGCCCATATGCCCAACTTCCTTCCCCCCCCTCCCCCCGCCTGGACTCAATGCAAGGCTCTCTGGGTTCCTGATTTTATCTCAAGCCTATAAAATATCTTCCCTGGAAACTCACTCCATTTCAGTCTTCTCTTCTGTGACAGAGGATTAAAAGCAAGTTCCCCACACCTGCCTCAAGTTTATCCAAGACAGTATGAGCACATTCTGCAGGTTCTCTGAGAATTTGAAAGGGAGGCAGGAGAATTTGAGAATGAATGCAGTACAGCCTAAATTTATAAAAAGGAATACAATATTGAAGAATTGAGAGTGAGGATAAAAATTTAATCTTTGATAAAACAGGTGAAATTTCAGAATTTGAGGGCAACTGTAAAGAATGCCTATTAAATATTTTTTAAATGTATATGACAGGAGGCTTAGATTGCCTGAAAGCAATCCAGGCTGAAAAATTTTAGAGCTAAAATGTGTTGTTACTTGAGATGTCATAAAAAGTGATGTTAAAATATCATTTCTAATGTCAGTCTTTTAGGGAAACCAAATGCCCCGCACCCCCATCCTTACACGGCCCCCTCCCCACCTGGTCCCCGCCCCACCACGGGCCAGTGCAGGGACGACCTGTCCAGGCTCTCGCGCACCTCTAGTGCCCAGTTTCCATCGGCCTCCCGACCTTCCACGTAGTGATGAGCGAGCAACCTTGGGCAACCCGAAGCAGCCAGTGCGGCTGCCAGAGCATGCTCAGTCAGGTCCTGACCCACTTGTGCGGGTCCGAACTCGGGGCAGGGGGTCAGCGGCGCTATTTGGCCTCATTGGCCAGGGACCGGGAGAAGGAGGAGAGAAACTGGGAGCTTCTTAAAGCCTCCTTTCTCGGTGACAGCCATCCCTGACCTGGCGGCGGAACAAGCACGATCTGCCTGCAGGAGCCACAAGCGTCAGCGGGCAGAGTCCACCGCTCCGGGTTTTGGCAGCAGCTGTAGGGGAAGGGGGCGGTACGGAAGTGAAAGATGGGTGGGGGCGTGGCGAGGGGCGGGCCTAGAAGGGGGGTGCGCCTCAGAAATTGAAGCAAGTAAAAAAAAAGGGGGAGGGGGGAGTGCGCCTACAATGCAGGAATATTGCTGCCAGACTTCTGCAGGAGTTTTAGACTAACCCATCTTATTTTAAAAACACCACATTGTACATTAGAAAAAACTTAGAAACGACAAATAATCAAAAAATAAGTAAATGTAAAAATCCCTGGAACCACACCACTCAGAAGACAACAGTGTCTTCTTCCAGCTTATTCCGTGCGGGCGAAGCTTCTGATCAAAAGGTGGCTCGACTGGTGGCCTTGGAGACGGGGAGGTAGGGGGTGTGTGTGGTTGGTTCTCTCGGGTCCCCCGGAACGGGATTCTAAGAAACCTCTCCCTGAATAACAGTGCGACGCGATGCTCAGCTCAACAAAGTTGCAATGCAAGTTCTGGTGGTGCCCTGCTTCTCAGTTGCCAGTCATAGAAATAAATACCACCTGCTCCGTGATGACCTGGCGGCCTGCAGCGGAGGCCGCGCCAGAGGCTGCGGGGACCGAGCGGGGGACTCCGTGGCGCCCACAGCCCGGCCCTCCTCTGCTGGAGGACCCGAGGCTCCCCCCCCACCCCGTCCTCCCTCCGCCCCCCCCTCCGCTGGCCCGCCCCGCCCCGCGCCGGCGGCTGCTGCGAAAACGCGGCGTTGACAGCGCGCCCGGCCCCGCGCCTCCGCCGCCCGGCGAGCGCACTGGGCATGCTCAGCGCCGGCGCCGGCCCCGGTGGGTGGGAAGCGCCGCGCTCCCGGCCCTCGCTGCCCCGAGCGGCGGAGGCGGCTGGTCCGCAGTGGGCGCTGCCAGGCGTCGGGCGCGGAGCGCGGCGCGGCGGCCGCTCTCGGGCGGTCAGGCTGGCCATGGCGAGCGGCGCACGGCGGCCACTGGAGCGACACGGCGGCGGCGGCATCAGGTTAGAGGGGGCGCCCGGGGAGACCGGGCTGCGGGGCGCCGATCGCAGGGAGCCCCGCACCTGCTGGGCGGTGGAGTCGCAGCTGCGGATGTCACCGCGGAACTTTCTCGGGCACTTAGGGCGGCGGAGCCAGCGACACGCAGGCTGCGCCCTGGGCGGCGCGGGGAGGTCCCTGCAGCGGGCTCCTGGGGGTCGCAGGATGCTTCAACATACTGCAGGGCGTGATGGCTTGGGGGGCGGGCGGTGGATGGATTGGGGACACCGCCTCTCAGGCTTACACCGTCAGCCTCCCATTGCATGGAACGCGGTGTCTACCACGCGCTACCGAGGAGCCTCCCGGGTCTCCCTGGGGAAGGAGACGCCAAAGTGCAGTGGGGGAGCCTTCGCCCGACTCCAGGTCGCTCGGGTCACCGTGCCTCAGTTTCCCCGAAATTGGGAGTGAGGTGCATTGTCCTGGCCCCAGAAGGCCCTGAGCGGGGGTTCTGGGTCCGGTTCCGGGAGAGCGCCTTGTCCTGATGCTGCGGGAGTGCTGGAAGCTGTGGATGCCTCCAGCCGCCGCCTCGCAACTGGAGCTCTCCGAGTTTGTCGCATTTGCCTTCATAGCAAGTTGACACAGAATTGCTTCATGACGTATTTCATCAGCTTAAAAAAATAAAGTGTTTGCTGAGCTGATTTATTTTACGCTCGACCATTAACCTGCCTTCCCCGTCCAAAAAAATTGGAGCTTGCAAGTTGCAAGATTTACAAAGCAAGCTAGAAAAAAAAAATAATGTTTGCAGGTCCATTATCTGCTCACACTGTAGAAAATAACCTTTTATGGTTGAATTACCATTGTTGTTAAGAATACTTGTTACAGAAAAGTTTGGTTACTGTACAATATTTTTGTGTTATCTTTATATTAAGAAGTTGGGAGGCTATCCTTGCAGAAGAGCAGGGTTGGTTTTGTTTTGTGTGTTTTTCTGTAAAGTTTTCTCACTTTTATTTCTACATGTAACACATTTGTTCCCAGTTGCTACTATGCTGAACATAGTAAAATTGTTCATTATGAAATGCAAGATGGAAGATTTATTTTCAGAGGAGTAAATTAGACCAATGTAGTTTTACTGGCATATATATATATATATTTTATTTTTTAAAGACAATTTGTATAATAGATTCCCACTGCGATTTCTACTGTTGGTTCTTCCTAATATTTAGTACCATTGCCACTACTAGGATTTTTGGATTTATTAAGAGCAAGGTAAGCCATCCTTGTTTTAGTAGGAACTAGTTCTACCTCTAATTAAAACTGTGTCCTCAAACCTATTTCCATAAGTACCATTTAGTGGGTTCAGCTTTTTCTTTATTAAGCTTATTAGAAAACATTTTGTTTGTATTCTTGATAGACCTTAATAGACTTTCAAGGTACACTGACTTTTCATTGGGCTGTGAAGAGCTTTTAATGTTTGTTTGCTCTTGCCTGCTCTGGTTCCCACTGTAATTCCAGCTACCTTGGATGGTTTTCCCAAGTGTGCTCTATGCTATGCCTAAACATAACTGAGACTTAATAACAGGAAAGGCTTGGAATTTCCAAACAACAGCAATAGCAACAATATGATTTCTACAGGCTAGGCCCAAAGTCCTCCATTTTAGCCAAACAGTCTGGTGTTCATTGCTCCTAAATGCATTCTAAATACATTTATAGAAAACTTTAGACGATTGAGAAACAGATATTGAGAAATTATGCTTCCTTTTTTTTATAAATATGCACCAGGTTAAAAGTCTGCCATGAAGCAGCACTTATCCTGCAGAGCAGGTCCGGTGTTCTCAGGCTGCTTTCCCAAGTGGAAGTTAGTTCCGGCTCTGCTGACCTTGAGGAAGCACTAAGCCTTTGTGAATGTGAGGTTTAATAGAGATCAATAGGCCCTTTCTAGATCTATATATATGGTTTTGTTTTTTAGTTAGGAAGGACAATGAAATTTAACAAAAGACATATTTAAACGCTATATTCTCTTAATCTAAAACTAACAAAACCAACAGGATTTAGATTCAAGAGATATCTTGTTAATGATAATGAAGAGAAAGTAGCAAAGTAGATTTTTGTATTCAAATTAGAAAACAGTAATAATTTCTTCTCTTTTGTACCTAATGTTGGATTCTTGCAGCTCAACTGCCAAGCACATAATTATTTTTTCATGTCTTTAGCTTTCTAAACTTTATAGGAATTAGTAACATTAGATATTCATAGCAAACTATTACCTTTAAAAATACAGTCAAACCTCACTTCTGGACCGTCACCCATCTCAAATAATTTGGTCCTCAACCCAACAACCCTTTCAGACACCTGTATGATCAATCATGCATCTCTTAGGTGACAAAGGAGAGAATGTATGAGTAGGAGTCAGTTTACCCCTAAATCTTGAGTTGTTAATTGTGCTGTGAGTATTTTTATGTTTTTGTGGTGTCGTTGTTGCTTATTATTATTAAATACATACAGTAAGACGCCATGGGTCCTAAGAAGGTTAGTGATAGCAGCAAAGTGAAAAGGAAAGTTGTGAGAACGACAGAACTTAAGAAATAGCCCAGCCAGCGTGGCTCAGTGGTTGAGCGCCAACCTGTGAAGCAGAAGGTCACCAGTTCGATTCCAGGTCAGGGTACATACTGGGTTGTGGGCTCAATTTTAGTGTAAGGCATGCAGGAGGCAGCCTAACAATGATTCTCTCCCATCACTGGTTTCTCTCTCCCCCTCCCTCTCTCTCTCTCTCTCTCTCTCTCTCTCTCTCTCTCTCTCTCTCTCTCTCCCTTCCTCTCTAAAATCAATAAAAATAGGGGTTTGGTTTTGTTTTGTTTTTTAATAAAAGAAAGAATTGCAAAGTATAATAGAGGTGTTTGAGTGTCTGACCTGGTTACTAAGCATGACAGGGCAAAATCCACAATTAGCACAATTTTAAAATATAAAGATCATAATGAGTGCTGAGATTGCTAAGGGTGAGAAAGTGGTTGCAAAACAATGATCACAGGCAATTGAGAAAGGTTAAAACAGGGAACCACTTGGGGGTCTGGAATGGATTAATTCAATTTACTTTATTTCTGATGGGGAAAATGATTCAGTTTTCAAACAAATTGTTTCTTGAACAGCCTTTGGAAATGAATTAAGTTCGAGAACTGAGGTTTCACTGTAGATCTTTCCAACCACCCCATTAACATGACCTAAATTTATTCAACTCCTTGTTTGGCTTGCAATTTAAATATTTGAGGCTATATAAACTTGGCTTAATTTGAACTTTCTGTTCTATGTTTTTAATGCAAGGACTTCCTGATACTGAGATACCAAATAATTATTGTGGCAAAGTTGCTTTTAGCCTCCAACATAGTATAGTCAGATTTGTTAGATGAGTGTCATTTTCTTTCCTTTTTTTTTTTTTTTTTGAATTCATAAATCAGGCAGATAATATCTGCACTAACTGGACATCTAACCAAGCACTTGATGTGTGGCCTGTTTCTTGTCTAGCCAAGCCCAGGACACTTAAAACTGTGACCACATTTTGTGACCCACGGCAAATCACAATGAAATGAAATTAAACATGGACTTAGATAAAAATGGTTGCTGTAGTACCTTCTTGGAGTGGTTAAAGGATTAAGGGGTTTGGTTGATCGTGTGATGATAACCAGGTAAGAGCTATCAGAAATAGTTTCTAAACTGTACTCAAAACAGAAGTCCTCTGAATTTATTGGTCTTCAGCCTGCTTCCACCTGAGGTCTTTTCTCATCAAAATATCACAATTCATTTTTCTTCCCTACAATCTGTTATAGTTAGGCCCCAGAGGCTGCAAAAATGAATGACACTGACTCACAACCCAGTCAGTGAGATATGCTTGAGGACAGATAAACTATATAGTTCCAAGTAAGTGCTTCAGGAGAGGTGGTTGTAAATGGAACTGAGGAGACTTAGGAATGAGCCCCATGGGTTGGAGAAAGGGGAGGGGTCTCATGAAAATAGTGACATTTCCATAGGACTTTAAGGAATGCCTAAGGAATAGAGTGGGGGACTTCCAGGCGGAGAAGTAGACTTTCCAAGCCTGAGGGACACCATCGTAGTATTTAGAATGATAGCTACCCCTCCCCAAAAAAGATACTCCCTTTGGGGCTTGGCAGATGTGATTCAGGTGAGGATCTTGATTTGGAGAGATTTCTCAGGATTACCCAGTCGGCCCAGTCAGTATACTAGTAATCACAAGCGTCCTGATAAGTGAAAGAGGGAAGCAGAAGGCAGCCTCTGAGTGATGCCATGTGGGAGAGACTTGAGCAGCTATTGCTGGCTCTGAAGGTACCAAAGAAGGAACCAAGGAATGAGAAGCTGGCACAGGCAAAGAAACAAGGGTCCCCTAGAGCTTCCAGGAGGAACACAGCCCTGCCAGCTCCTTAATTAACCCATTAGGACCCATGCTGAACTTAACCCACAGAACAGAAAGATAATAAAGTTGTGTGTTCAGTCACCAAGTCTGTGACTTAAGTGCCATCGAAAGGAGCCATAGGAAGCAAAGGCAGCCACACACAAAGAAGGATTTGGTGTGATGGAATAATGGGCAGGGGCAGGAGAAGGGGAATGAAGTGGTCCTTCCACCGTGAGAAACTTAATGTCATGCAAACGAGTTTGGATTTTATCCTATTATAGATAAACAGTGGGAAACCAGCAAAGGGTTTTTAAACAGGAACGTGCAATGACTATACTGCTGCCAGATTCGTCTTAAAAAAAAAAAAAAAGCAATGTATAGCTGAATCTCAGGTTTCACGGGGCATTCTGACAAAGGGTATCTAACGAGAGGTGGGCAGTGATGGATAGAAATCTGGAATCAGCATGTTATTCAGGGCAGGTGATTCAGTTCTCTGAGCTAACCTGAAAGGACATTTGTAGGCATGACCTAAATTAATAACTGAAGGAAACTCATTCACAATTCCTAGTAGAAGGACACAGACAGTAAAGCAGAAAGGCCAAGTCTCACTTGACTGCTTTGTTTCTG